GCTCATCGATCCGGCGAAGTCCTTTCTCTGTGCGGAAGCAATCGACGACGCCGTTCATGTAGTATGCCTGGCGCATCACCTTGCGCATCTTAGGACTAACAGTAAGCTCCTCAGCGAACATGGACTTAGCGGCTTTGAGAACATGCGAACTGTTGGAAAAGTCATTGTCCACAAACTGATCTGCCAAATCTTCCGGCTGCTCAGTGGGATCTTCGGTGTATTGCCGGCGACCCTCCTTGGAGGCGTTCTGAGCAAAGGCATCTGCAGTGATGCCAAAAGCACGCACAAAGCCATAAGCCTTGCCATTTCGAACCCGCTCAAAGAAAGATCTGCCAGTGGCCTTTCGACGTTGGGTTTCTCCATTAGCCTCGCCATTGACCTGGTTGAGATCACGTAGCTGTGAGGAGTACTGGAAATGGATATAGTCCTGAACATCTTGGAGTTCTTCCATGGTCGCGGCCCCGGCAAGCTGATCCTCGACGTTGGAATCATTCAAGTTGAAGAGACTTTGCAGGTTGTCATATGTCTTTTGGATTGTACCACGCTTGTCGATCAAAGCGCGGAATTTGAGATCATGGTCGAAGATATCCCATAGATCGGTCATATTGAGGAGTTTCTCGGCGCGGATGCTGTATTGGGCAGAGTCGTCGTCGAGGTCGGCGCCATTAGAAATATCTTTGACAGCATGAATCATGTAGTCTTTGCGATGCTGGAAAATGAAGGGCACTTCCCAATCGTCCGTGATCAGGAATTCCAACATCTTAGCAACGGAGCGCTGGAATGGTTCGCGCAGTTCGGGATCCATGCGCTTCTTGAGCAACATCAAGTTTGAGATCCAGACTGCCTCCTCCCTGAATTGATCCTCGGACAATGTCACATGCTTGTAGGGCTTGCGAGCAACCTGATGGCGTTCGGGTTCATCGAGGAGACGAATTTCGTTATCATCCTCCGTCAACATCCTCTCTGCCAGCTCGGATGGCTCAAAGACATCCTTCAGGTCTAGGTGACGTTCCTCGATTTGTTTGTCGGCCTCTTCTTGGTCTTCCATTTGCAGTGCGAAATCGTACTCTGTGCCATCACCGAATGCAGCGCGCATATCCTCAAGTGCATTTTCATCCAAGCCCGAAGTATCAGTCGGAATCAAACCGGTCTTGTTGACTCTGGAGGCAGGAGCAACCCCGAGGTCATCCCGTTCGCGCTCAGCCTCATCGTCGGAGAAGGTATCCTCTTCAATAAAGTCGTCCATTTCATCGCGCAGACCACGGCGCTGGCCTGGTCTAGCATATTGTTGCGCTTCCTCTTCTTCGTCCGAGTTGAAAATATCATCGACGCCGTGAGACGGTCGGTGGCTCTCGCGATCTTTGCCTCGCTTCAAGCGCTTAAACTTTGACTATATCAGAGCATCAGAAACTTGCCAAGTCACGAGCTGCAGCTTACTTACTTCTGTAGCTGGTCCACGATGTTGACTTGGACCATGTCCAATGAGTTCCAGGTCTTCTTCATCAAGGTGCTCTTCTTCACGAGCAGCGCGTGGACGTTTCCTGTGTTTGCGAGCGGCACGTTCGTCTTCTTCATCCTCATCAACAATGAAACCTTCACGGACCTAATACTTCGTCAGCGAAGAAAAACAACCCGGTACAAGGTCGAAACTGACGGCGCGAGCAGCCTCCTCGTCATCTTCTTCTTCGTCTTCCTCCTCGCTCGAGTCATTGTAGTGGTTGGTGGGACGTGCAACCGGGCGGCCCTCGGCATCATATTCGTCGGCGACTTCCTCATCTTCGTCATCCATGACCGCCTCACCCTCGATCAGGTCGCGAAGGCTCATCTTGAAGCAAAGATCCCTATTGCTAGGGACCGTGGAGAATGCGGTTTCGGATGAAAGATTCAAGATGCGATGGCGCAGACGCGACACCAGGTAGTACCCAGCTCGTTAAGGACGGTCAAAAGTGAAATAAGGAGGGTGAAATTGAAGCAATAGTTGTCAAAAGGAAGAATCACGGCCATCGGCGAGGAGAGGATGCGGGTGGCGGTGATTGGCTAGTGCTGGTGTGGCTAGACGCTAGTCCTATTGAGGTAACCTAATTGTGGCTTCCTAATTGTGGCTTGAGCCATTCATGCCACGTGATATTGTCTTTCTGTACATCGTACACTGTACATTCAACGATGCCCTGGTCGGATCCTCAATATGCATATCGTTTTGTACTATTAAAGTGGGATTGAGACTACCGAATACGTGCAAATATGAACATTATCGCCCATAAATTTAGCCCATAAATTTGTTGTGTAAAAGCCGCAAGTACCCAAAGCTCGCCCAAAAGACTGGTGGAACCGCCGAAAGACCTGTTTCATTGTAGTGGCCTTCATAGTTCTTGAAGATCATCTCTCATTTTCTTCCTCCCATAATACCCGTAAAACCCCAACATACTTCTGTTTGGCGCCGACCGGCACATTTTCGTCGTAGTTGGTCGAATCGACGCGCCCGCAAGACCCAATCAGCGTCGCCAAGAACACCGCAAGGTGATATCGACTTCCCCGCTGTTAGCTCGGGGGTTCGTTCTGACCACTCTGATCCCATCGGCTCGGGTAAAGCGGACCTGATATCACTCAGGCGGTTGGGCTCTTCGTTTTCTTTCTTTCACAAATTTCCCCTTGTGCAACTCCAACCCCTCCAACCAAGCGTCATGGCGGACCAGTTCCAGGCTCGGACGTTGAAACGCAAGAATGTCAAAGGTCTTGCTCTCAATGCAGCCCCTAAACCCACCCCCAACACTACCGATGGCGATGCACAGGCCCCTGGGCCTGTTGGGAGTAGCGAGGTCAATAACACAGATACACTCGAAATCGGACTGGAGTTTCGTCTCGACCTTCGCAGTGAAGACCTGGTCACATTGAAGGAACTCGGCGCTGGAAATGGAGGTACTGTTTCCAAGGTGATGCACGCATCCACGAAGGTGGTGATGGCTCGAAAGGTGTGTATTGTGTACTGTGTGTTTCCGCTCGTTGGTCAGCGCTGATTTCCTTTCCTCGTTCCTCCGCAGATTATCCGTGTGGAGGCTAAAGAAAACGTGCGGAAACAAATTCTACGAGAACTTCGAGTCGGACACGACTGCAACTGCCCCAATATTGTCACTTTCTATGGTGCGTTTCAAAACGAAGCGAGAGATATTGTGCTGTGCATGGAATACATGGATCTCGGGTAGGTGGACTGACACGGGAAAGAAAGAGGATATAGCTGACGGAGCAATCAGATCTCTGGACCGCGTTTCTAAAGATTTCGGCCCTGTTCGAGTCGATGTGCTGGGAAAGATCACTGAGTCTGTCTTAGCTGGCCTTGTCTACTTATATGAAACCCACCGTATCATGCACCGTGATATCAAGCCGTCCAATATCTTACTCAACTCCCGCGGCAACATCAAGCTCTGTGACTTTGGCGTTGCTACCGAGACAGTTAACTCGATTGCCGATACATTCGTTGGCACTTCTACATACATGGCTCCCGAGCGAATTCAGGGAGGCGCCTATACGGTCCGTTCTGACGTGTGGAGCGTGGGCTTGACGGTCATGGAGCTGGCCGTTGGAAAGTTCCCATTCGATCACTCCGACTCTGCTGCCGGAAACCGTGCTAGCGCAGGGCCGATGGGAATTCTGGATCTACTCCAGCAAATTGTGCATGAAACAGCGCCCAAGTTGCCCAAGAGCGATGCCTTCCCGCCTATCCTACATGACTTTGTTGGGAAGTGTCTCTTGAAGAAATCCGAGGAGCGCCCGACCCCCCGAGAACTTTATGTATGTTTATATCTCTTTTTAACCTGCCGCTCTTTCTCACGTGCACTAACTCCCTCCAGGACAAAGATGCCTTCTTGCAGGCCGCGAAGCGCACACCAGTCAACCTCGAAGGATGGGCAACGAGCATGATGGACCAACAAAAACGCAAGTCCTACTTGGGACCACCAATACCAACATCACTCTCTAGAGAGGTCTCGACGACAACCTCAAACTCGACTTCATCTCCCGCCGCAGCTCCCACATCGGCCACTGTCGGCAAACCCCCTCTCATCAGCAAGCCAACACGAACCCCACAGCAGTCACCATTCCCGTCAAACCCAGTATCAGGCGACATCCCTCTAAAAATCGCCAACGAGATCCCGTCCAGCCACCGTTACTACCCCCAATCCAAGCCCCAGCCCCAGCCTCAATACTACTCATCGTCGTCCCGAACCAACCGGTCTCCACCACCCCCCTCTCTGGAGCACCTCTCGCTGGAATCAAATGACGATAACAGTCGATCCGGTCGTCGCGCTATGCGTCAACACAATGAGCCCGTTTCTGCTGTTGATGCCCCATCTCACCCATTTATGAGCCCCCGCTCCTCCAGCTCCAACAATTCCAATCCCCGCACGAACCTGCACTCCACGACAATGCCTATCCGCGCCGCGCCTCCCACCGGCCCGCCTCCCGCACCGCCCGTTTCAACAGGCGGAAACTGGCGCATCCAACCAGGGACTACGCCCCGATAATTGGGTGATGATTAGTTAATGTACTCCGATACATATTCGTGCTATTTTCTTTTCATTGTGTCTATGTCCAGATGAACGTGCATATAAACCTGAAAAGCCGACGTGATACAATCTCGACTTTCACGATTGTGGACTTCTTTTCCTTGTCGGCTATGTCGTTCTGTCTGTGTATCCACGGGCTTGATGGAGCAAAAAAGGAAGCTGAGATAAACCCTAACAGCACTTTCTTTTCCATCTATGAGCATCTCTCTCTTCTCTCTCTTTTTCTATTTTCTCCTTTCTCCTTCTCATTCAATGACTCTGCTTTGATTGAAATATCTGGCAACGAACCCTATTTTGTTCATTTCTGACTCTATCTTTATCTGCTGGGATGTCTTCCTGCATTACACGGCGTACATAAATAAGTGCAATTTCATACTCTTTCACACTCAGGTAGAAACACGTGGTTATGTATCCATAAATATTTCCAATAGATCACTTAAATCAATCAATATAGATTTCAGATACCACACTCAACCAACGTGTGGAATGTTCGCTGTCCAGGTACTTATAAAGGCACCTGGAGGAAGAAAAGGCCAATGAACGAATGACCTCCACTGTTATAAACAGTCTGGCCAGAATAAACACGACCACGATGAGGACCATCAAAGCTCTCTCAATCAATTCTAGTATCCTTGGTTGGTTTTCCATCTTAAACACCTTCAACCAAATTGGATCCAATATTTGATCAAGAAAATAGGCAAATGGCATAGCAACAGCCGTTACAACCGAGCTCAGACGCCAGAACAGTCTCTCCAGGGCTGTAGGGAACTCAAAGTTCAATGCAACGCAGTGGGCAGCGCCAAACAGAACCAGAGCAAACAAGGAAGCCATGCTCATCACATATCCTGGCACTTTCCTTAGCGCGTCTCTGTGGATTGCATCATGGGGGATCCAGATGCTGTATTTTGGGCCGAAGCCCAGCGGGCCAGCATTGGCCATGTAGATCAAGTCTTCCGCGGAGGGATGCCTGACAGCTTTGATGGTAATATGATGTCCGGACATCTTGGGGCTTATTGATCAACATTATATACGTGATCGAGGAGCAAATTGCGAAAGACAGGGTAAAATTCTCGAGCTGGCTTGTTGGGAGCTTTCGGCTTAGCCGCACGCGGAGCTGAATGAACATCCACGAAATCTGAAGCAATGCTAAGAACTTGACGACGAGATTGCCTTTGTTATGGTCATCCAGGGAATCCTGCGGCATGCAGGGTAGTTTTTCAATGATTCCAAGCTCACGGGCAAGAAGAAGCTGGTTCGCGTCCACCACCCACAGATTGCCACAAAGAAGAGTGAGGTTACCAACCCACTCCTTGTATGGCATGTTGAAGATTCCTTCTTCCTTTCAGTAGCCCTGAGAAACCATGTTATTTGCTTCTGCAATGGCAAGGATGTTGGATCTATCCAATGCCCAGTCGATTTTGCCAATCGCATTCGAGATCCTCTGCGTTGGCTTCTGAAGTAACTGTGGGGTCCGTATTCCTTTTGGCAGATCTTTTATAGAGGGTATCTCTTGAGTATCAGTTGCAAGGTCGGAATCTGCGAATTGAATGGGAAATCCACCCATGTCGGCGTAGTGTATATGGGAAGCAGACCATGGGACGCTGTCTTTCTCCTGATACTGTGCAAAGCGAGCCTTGAGTATCCTGACAGAGCACATATCACTGCAGGCCATTCTGAATGCCCACTCTGGAGCGAGGATGTTGATAATCATCCATTTGAGTTTCTGGAGAACCGCCAAAGCGTTCGCAGATACTTTTGGCGTTTCTTGGATGGAGTCGACTGGATTGGGATGTTGAGATGGAAATAGACCAAGTGCAGAGGCCTATCACGCTGAGGCAAGACCAGACGATATCTAGAGTCCCTCGAGTATCTGGCGAGGAAACAAAGCCTGCTGTCTCTGGAAGATATGCACAGTTTCTGTGGAATGTCTGCATTCTGCGAATGACTCTCGAGTCAAGAGTGGCAGCTATGTTGATTTTGCGCGGGGACCTGTATATAAAAGCAAAGCGCTATGGGCGCAGCGAATAGTTCAACCGTTTCAGCTGGCGTTTCTTCGCAGCGAATCAGCATGGTTTCTTTTGTTCTCTGTACTTATTGGTTGACTCGATGATGCTAGGCGGCTCAAGGCTGGGGGCCAAGTCACTAACTCTGACGGGATAAATATAGAACAGACAAGTAAATATGTCGCTGGATAGCGAACCTGTTTATTGATTCCTGTACGTTTTGTAGTAGCGTATATATGTATTTAGGCACCTGTTCATGAACTGTGCAATCGGTTTGTTTCATAAACTACATATGTATGGACTAGTCTACGCATATTGTTTCATGACATACAACATGGAACACCTCTGGCCTTTCAGAGAAAGAACCGACGAAAACAGATAACAGCACAGCAGACTCAATATCTGAAGCGGTTGAGGATGGCGTAGTCTATAGATTGTTCCATTGAAAGCATCTTGAATTCTTGAATGACTAGCTGAAAATTGATATATTCAGCCATAGTAACGTAACCGATGTATACATAGAGAGCTCATGTGTCCACGAAGCAAACGGTTTCTCAAGGACGACAACAGAAACATGTAACGGGGTAAATCAAACCCAGCAAAATGATAGCGCAAATGAATAAAACAAAGTCATCCAGCTCTGAACACCAAACAAACCCACGACACATCAGTCAACATGTTCTCTATTTCATCATGAGCTCTGGGCCAGCTAGCGGACTGGGAGCAGGGGGTCCATGAGCAACACCCGGGGTCGATGGCGCAGGAGCAAGGTCTGGCATCGGGATTGATATAGACGACTTTCCACCCCGATTGCTGTTCGTTCCACCGCGGCCAGAGGTCCCAGTGCCGCCACCACGGCCACCTCGGCTTTCATGGGCAGCAGGCGCAGTGGTAGCAGCGCGGTCGCTGCCACCATCGGTCTTCTTGTTGCCTCGCGGACGGCGCGAGGTGCCACCCCGAGAGCCGGGTCCACGCAATGGCAGGCCAGTATCTTGGGAGACGGGCACAGCAGCTGCGATAGGAACGTGCGGGTGCGAGGTCACAGTCCGACCTCGACCTGTTCCTCGCCCCCGGCCACGGCCGCGTTTGATTGTACCGTCAGCGCTGCAGATAATTAGTAACCTGTAGTAAGGGGTAGTGAGTAGACATACCGTTCCACCTGGACCTTTTCTCCCTCCGGAACCAGTGGCCCACTGTAGACAAAGAACCCGTCCTTGCTGGCAGCAGCCTGCTCCTGCCACACCATTTCGGTGTCATCCACGAATGGATCATCACGGTCGTATTCCTCGACCTTCCTGCGTCGCTTCTTCTTTCCATCGCTAGCCTCCGAGGGCGCACCGTTGGTTCCTGCCCCAGTGCCGCTCATGGGAACATCGCCATCCATATCACTATCGCGTTCCGCATCGAGGCTCAGGTCCTCGTCAGCACTCTCGCCGGCAGAGATTCCCTTGGCATTCTTATCATTTCGTTCCAACGCGGCCCCGGCAGCTGCCACACGAGCCATGCGCGCTTTGTGAGCGGCCAGACGAGGATGCAAGGCAGCGAAGCCATATTGCTCTTCTGCAAGACGTGCAAAGTTGACAATCTGGTTGCCCTTTTGTAGCGGAACATGAACGATGATGTTTGGTGTGCTGCGCGAGTCGGGCGACTTTGCAGAATCATCCCCTCCAAACAGCGCGTTTGTGATCAGGCCAGATCCTTGAGGCAGCTGAGGGGTTTCTTTAGCAGGTCGAGCTGGCTTGGGAGATGAGGCCTTTGATGCAGGGGCAGTAGCTGTGCTCTTTTCCTTTTTGGCGCTGGCTGCGGCCTGCTCTGCGGAGTCGATTTCCATTGATTCGGCTGGTTGTTGTCTGGGCGGAGTCGGCTGAACAGTGGGTTCGGGTTGCGCGGGAGGTTGAGGTTGGCGCACCGCCGGCGGAGACGGTTCGAGCTTAGGGGCCTGTGAGGGTGTTGGCCGCTGCTCGGTAGGTGGGTATGGGGTGGTGTAGGGGGTGGACTGCGACATGGCCTGCGGGATATGCATGGCTCCACGGGCAGCGGAGGAAATGGGAAGGGGCGACGGTGCTAAGGACGGATGTGAGGGCGCGGGAACCATCGCAGGCGGTCCCGGCGAATGGAGCCCGGACGCATGGCTAGAGGAAGAGCGTTGAAGCGTGTTGTATATTGGTTGAGAGTTCTGGGCTGGCGGGTCGATGATGCTTGAGATCGCCGGCGACGCACTGGCACGATACGCATTGCGAGGAGAGATTGCGCGAGCAGGAGGACTATATGATGGTGCTGGAGATGGATTGTCAAACGCAGAGCGAATAGGGTCGAAGTTTTGTCCGCTGGTTCGTTGAGGTGGTGGTTGCGGCACTGGAGGTTGCGAATGCGATTGTGGGCGAGACGGTTGCGACAGCTGATACGAAGCTCCTGGAGCTGTAGGAGGGTGCGGATTTGAGTATGAAGTTGGAGCAGGTTGAGGTTGAGCTATTTGAGCTGGTTTGGTTGGTTGAGCGGGTTGAGCGGGCTGAGCAGGTTGAGGCGTTGCAGGGGCGTGTGGAGGGCTTCGGGCGTCTACCGGGGCCCTCGTTACCTCCGCAGGTTCCAGCTTGGGCTTTTTCCGAGAAGCAGTATTGTTTGACTTCTCTCGCGGGCGACGAGGAGCTCGGGCCGGTTTTTCTTTAGCTTCTTTTGGTTCCTTGTCTTTCTTGTTCTTGTCGGAGTCGTCATCCTTCTTACGACGCGACCGCCTGGCGGTACCGGAGGCACGTCGGGCGCCTGTGCCGGGTTTGACATCGGTGTCAATGGGCCCTTCTTCTTTGGCTAAACTCGTATTAGGAGGATCCGACATAGTTTGACAAAAATCACAATCAACAAATTGGAAATTGAAATTTGATAATTGATGGAATTTGGTTAAAATCGGGATGGCGATGAGAGTTGAGTCGAAGTGGTGAAACGTGTCGGTATTAGGTCGGCAAACAGAGATTGGGGGAAGAGGAACACAAGAAAGATGAGACGGTGACGGAAGAGAGAAGACACCAAGAAAACGCGGGAAAAGCTGAAAAAGAGAGGGACGCGGAAGGGGAGAAGGGGAAAATGTTGACAGGAAAAGAGAGAGAGCAAAAATAAGAAGGAAAGGGAGAAGAGGAAGAGAAAAAAAGAAAAAAAAAAAGGGAAGAAAGGGGAGAGACAAAGCAAGCAGAT